ATTAATTTGTTTTGTTCGTAACGACTTTGCACGGCTAAGGAGAGCTGTACTATGGTTAATATTATATTATTTACAAGACGGTATTCATCATAGATCGACCGTATATCAAATATAAATGATCGAGTCTTACCTCCACCGATGCCGGCGAAAAATCGGCACGCGTAGATTAGATGTATGTTTTCGGGCCGTGCAATCGAAGCGATCGACCAGGATGCCAAAAGTGGAACGGATGTTAGTAAAAACGCGTTCTTCCTGCCGATCCGGTCCATTATGACACCAATTGCGATCACCCCGATTGGTGTACACATCACCAGAATGCTAGCTGAAAATACATTAATACGCTTGTTATAATGTTGTATTAAAAATTGTCATAGGCTGTTGCAGTATAATCGTAAATTGGTACCGCAGCTGGACGGCGCCAGACTGACTGATTTTAAGATCCAAGTAAGAGTAACGCATCGGTTTAATTGGGCCTATAGGGCTGCAGGACGCTGCGAATGGTATTTAAAATGTTGATACAACAATGCGAGAATTTTTCATCAACGATGTTTTCGGTGACTCTTAAGTCGTAACTATATAGTTAAGTATTGATGATATATCATCGTGGAGATTACTAAATCATGGTATACCAAAAATACCGCTTGCCCTAATTCAGGGACCCTCAAACTTTTATGAAAACTATACTCCTTTTTACTAATACAGTAGAAACTCGATTATCCGAACCTCCGTTATACGAACCCTCTATTATCCGAACTATAATTAGCGTATCCGAACGTTCTGTTATCCGAACATGAAAATTCATTTGGCTGCAGAAAAGCGCGTTGCAGCTCATCGTCAAATTAAAATTGATAATTTTGTCAAAAAAATATTATACATACATAATACATATGTAAATAAAATAAATGTAATGTACCTATTTCTTATAATGTATGATAATGTTTCTGATAATGTAATGTATGTAATTCTAATAAAATATTAATAACAATAATAAATATTTAATTATAAAAATAATAAATAGTTAATACATACGTAATTCTAATTTTTTTTTTTAAATTTCCAATATCCGAACTTTTGCGTATCCGAACTAGGTGCGGTCCCAATAAGTTCGGATAATCGAGGTTCTACTGTACATTTTTTTGGATACCCCTTTTTAGCTACTAAACTAAAATATATGTATAAAAAATTTAAAAACTTACATTCTTATTTCATTCAGGTTTGTTGGTCAAACTTTTACCCCTTAAACAATTTCGAGTAMCCCCAAGGGGCACGCGTATCACAGTTTGAGAATCCCTGGCCTAATTGATGCCATTTACTAAACATGAATCTAATTATGCCCGCACGGTTAATTAGWAGATAGATATAATGCTTAAAGTCCGATCGMAATACATGACAATTATATTATAGTAGTTGTAGGTAAGTATGTTGTTGTGGCTCTGATTTGAGTACATTATCTGGATAAACAGCAACTTCCAAACGATTAAGACTTTCGTATTTTTAATTGCAATTTGTATCTATAATGACTCGCCACTAATCAAAAAGTAAACTATTATCTAACGAATTTGTGATTTGTAATTTAGGTATACTCTTACTTAGCCAAGATAACTCCGAAGCATCTGTAAATTCGTAGTAATTCAGAAATATGTTCGAGTAAACCATATTGATTCCGGGCTGAGTGACCAATAAAAAAGCAACTACACTTGCTAATATCTAGATAGAAATACGCTATTAGTGTCAAACATAATAATATTTAAAATAAACCTTTGTAATCTGGTATTTAAGACTTAAGTGTATAATATTTTCTAATATATATGAAATTCGACTRCGTTCGACTAAATTTTCATAGAATATCAAGAACCAACTGGTAATGATAATAAAATATTGTAGTCATATTAACCTGAGGGAAAAGATCTCCCCAACACAGTTTGTCCGCGGTGRCATTTTGTTCGACATATTGTGTTATAGTATCATTTGATTTGAATCTAYGAAAATAATGAAAAAATATTTTAAATACTAAAAGGTAGAAAATCATTAATTATAGATCATCATAATATATTACATGCAATTATATATACGTAAAGCTCTAAATTAAAAATTAGCTTACGAAATACAAAAAAAAAAACAACTTATACCATAAATCAAGGTCACTTTTTATAATATATTTTAGATTATATACGTATAAGAAATACTATGAATAAACTAACGTTTTAAAACGCACAAGAGTAATAATGAGCTAATATATACAAGTGATAAAAAAATAATATAATCAGAATATTAAGTGCGTATTTCACAGTATTATAATCCTTTGTATTTATTGTTTTTTACTCACTGTATTCCATTCGAAAAAGTTTGCTGATTTTTCCAGACACACGGATTYCTGGAAATAAGTGGTGTTGTAAACGTACAATACGCCATAGTATATCATATGATGAATGAACAACAAAATATATGTGCTGCAACATTATAACGTATCTAACGTTTGTGGTGGATACATTGATCCGATGTACGAATTCAATTCTTTTTAGCGTACTTTGGTATTAGGTATACAGCAATACCTTATCTCACAATTGTAATTATTATACGCTTCACCTCGTGAAATGTATGGATTCAGTTTAATACCTACCTACCTATATGAAGCTACACGCATTGTATAGAAACGGAATACAACTAAAACGTTATCTGAATATTATTAAGCAATCGCATAATAATAATACTAGACCCTACCCAATTAACGAAAAAATAAATACCTATCTGTTATTGTCTATATAGATTCAATATATCCATTAGGTACAGAGTATGCAATAATATCAAACACACTAATTTGTTAAAGAACACCACAACCATTACTCGTCTATTTGACAATACTTTAGACTTCCTGGTTTCTATACGAGTTATACATGAGCATTGAATTATTAATACAAAAATATTATACCATAATAATTATTATCAGGTAGCCAATTCAATCTCGGCGGAAAGCTCGAATTTAATCGGCAAGTTACTGACAAAAACAGTGGACCGCGTAAAAATTAGGCTAGTAGCCAAAAAAAATAAAAATAAATGGGTATTTATTATTTTCAGGCAAATATTGTTTGGTATTTCTATATAATAGCATAATATAGAATGATAATATAATATAAATCTAAATTATTATTATATTTAACGTGCACAAGTGAGATGCGAAACCGCTTTTATATTACTCAAGTATTATATAGGTACCTACTTTATAACCTCTTTTTAGAAACTAAAATTACTTATTTAAATACCATTGCAGTTGAAAATACTCATTTCAAAATATTTATTATGAAGTTGTTGAAAAGTTATTGAAAAAATAAAATATTATGATTTAAATTTAAGAATTTTACTAGGTGCTAATGTTAATATTTTTAACATTGTTTACAATAAATTCAGTCGGTATCGGTATTAGTTATTAAGTTAAAAATAAAATTATTCAAATGTTTAATGTAGTAATTATAATTTGTAATATAACAATTTGATTATATTATTTTTAGCTAATTGATTCATTATAGTTGTAAGTTAGGTAAAATTATAAATTATTTACCCACAAGCCAAAATCGTTTTATTTAATTATCTATTTTATGTGGTAATCTCATTTTTTTTTTATTTTACATTTTGAATTTCTATTTTTTTTTTTAAGTATATAGCCGTATAGGTATAATATAATTAACTAATACTTTGTTGTTATCCTAATTTGGTAAGATGGATTATCAGTATTACATCAAAATCTGATGTGAACTAGAATTTCTTAGTAGAAGTTATTTAAAAAATAATTGTATGTATTTTGAAATGTACAATTTTAACTGATTTTGATCATTATTAAGCTTAAACACTTTTATTTTAAAACAATAAATATATTGAGCATTAAAATATAATATCTACATTTTACACACATATTCAAAAAAAAGCAAAAATGTAGTTTTAAGCTTGTAAAGTTATTAAAAAATGGTTGTACTAAGGCCATGAGTGCTGCAAGATGAAATCGGTAAAAATTTCTTACATCTTGCTGCTAGCTTTAAATTTATATTTTGCGTTTTTCAACAGGTATTCCTATTCGCGGTACTTTTTATATGTGTAGTCTGCATAGTAATTAAAATTGTCTTTGATAAAGTATAGATGTTAAGTAATTTAATACAATGCTTAATTTACAAAAATGTTCTTAAGAGATATAATTACGAATTAATGCACACCTATTAATAGGCAACTCATCAAAAAATCAATACATCCTTTCARTTTTTATTGAATGGAGTGCAGATAAAATAAGAAATAAAAGGTAAGTAAAATATATTATAAAAAGGCTGATAGAAACTTAAATTTTTGGTTGGGTGAAAAGTYTCAGACTGACACTTATAATTTCAATCTGTTCAAATTATATTTCGGAAAACATATTAAAACTAAACGTTTTAGAGTAAATTKCAGATACTAATTAATAATTGGTTTGTGATAATTCAGTGGGTTGTTATGTGTGTAGAAACWCCTCACATTAGCCGTATTTAAGTGAAAAATATATGAAATTTATGATTCAGATTTCTAAAAAATATTATGCGTTCAAATGGTTCTATTTCATGTTTAATATTATATTAATTTGAAAATCAATGATTAAAATTATTACATGTTATAATTAAATATAAAAATAAAACACTTCTCTGAAAAAAAATCTTGACTACACACATGTACTTACTAATATATTTGTGCGTCAAATAAAGTTTAAAATAAATAAACTGAACATCATGATAGAGATTAGAGAAATAATGACGTATGTGCTTCAAAGTAGTTTATAGGCCGAAAATATCACTAAATAGTAAATAATAATATTTTTTTATAAAATCGACAGTGTTGTTACACTGTACAGATAAAGAAAATCATAAAGAACAGGATTATTAGTTACCTATTATTATAATAATTATAATCTAATCTATACGTAAATTAACCTCTAAATTCGAATAGTTATAGCTTAAAACTCATATAATATATTATAATGAATAAACTGTACCAGAACATAATAATTTGTATGTAAACGGCTTAATATATTTGTAAATATTCAGAGTACCTACACTTGAAACGAAGATTTACAAAACATGACGCATGTTATATTTATACATACACACTTTATGCTTAAATTATTTAAAAAAAAAATCTGTCGTATACAATAATAAGCTAACACTCAGAATTAAGATTGTTCGTATTGATTAATGTTAGATTACATACGGAAACATTTCAATTTATAGGTATACATAATATGATTAATGTTTTATTAGTGTAAATGAGACCGGAAAAGCTTTGGTGTCATTACAAAAACAGATGTTTACGGAAGAATTATTATATAAATTATGTATGTATAAAATATAAGTATAAAGACCTGTAGAACCACTTTTCCTGATTACATGGGTTCACCCCTCATAATTCCACATGCATGTATATGCATTATGCAAGGAAGTGTGGAGCTGATGCAAATGTGTTATTGACGAACGAGCTTTATGTTGGTTTACTTGATTGCGTGAAGTAATCCTCTATTTCTTGGAAGCTCTTGCCCAACGTCTCGGGAACGACAAGGTACACGTAGACGGCCATCAACAAGGACACGGCACCGAACATGAGGAAAACGTGTGGCAAGGATACTACGGCCATCACGTACGGGAACGCCTTAAGCACGGTAAACATGATCAGGTAAGCGTACGATATCAATATACTGCCGCCGACTGCCCGGACGGGCGTGGACAGCAGTTCACATGTCATCGTCCACGGGAACACAAGGACGCCGACGGAACTGCTGATCACGTACAGCATGACGCCGCACAGGGACCACGGGATGGTGGTCGTGTCCCGTTGACTATGGGTGGCCGCCACCAGAGTGGACGACAGCGCCATGGCTACGCACGAGAACACCAGCAGAGGTTTCCGGCCCACGCGCAACGACAACACACACGCCAGCAGGCCGGAAGCGAACCTGACGGCACCCAGTACAGCCAGTGATTGGATATCGGTGGACGGCCAGTAGGCGGCGGGCGTCACCGACTTGATTATGGGAAGCGCGTACGATATGGTCGGGTAGGCGCCGGTCAGTTGCTGGAGGAGTAGCAGCAGTGCCAATATGACCATCGGCTTGTACGCCGCGGGACTGGATCGGACTGACTCGATGAATGACGATTGCTGGACGTCCGTGACGGCAGTAGCATCTGACGCGGATTTCAATCGTCTCCACTCGGCTTCGAACACCTGCTAGGCACGTGCGTCGTTTACTTTATTTTAGGACGGGCATGACGAATTAGTTCCCGTGAATTTCAGTCCCGCCAGACAATTTACACGAAGTAACCCACCTCCACTTTGTCCTATCTACTTCAAAATACCACCAAATAATTTTAAACCTAATTTCACTAATTTCAAAACTATTTTTATGCTTTTTATATTTTTACGATTTTTAATGCCTAAAATTTTTTTAAGAAATTTTTAGCGTTCCCCATCTCATTTTACCCAATTGACTACGCATATACATTACCAGAAACCTGTCTTCAAAATTGTTCACAGTTGGTTTATTGTTTTTTTAAACACAATTTATTGAAGTCATCACAACACAATGGCAGTTTCCGAATTGGCGTCCGTTTAAATTTGAAATATACCTATATTATACTTAAACATCTTTACTGGTTGGGTCGATTTACGTATTTCGCAAAAAGATATAGGTAGGTACAAAAAATTTAGTCAACTACACACATTTTTTCCCCTAATTAAATATTAAGAATTTATTAACACTAATTTCAATTTTATGTCAAATAATTCATTTAAAATTTATATATTATATTATTTATTATAAAAGTAGGTATGAGTACCTAAATATTAAATAATATGCATTATGTGTTTGTATAAATTTGTTTAAGTATACAACTGTGAACTGTCATTGGCTTATACTCAGATATTATAAAAAATAATACTAATTGCATAGGTAATTCTATAGAATATAGTTATATTAGCATGTTAATTATTAGTATATTATGTCGATACGGATTATATAATATGTGATTTTATATTACTAATATTGCTTTACATCGAACTGAAATTTAACTTTATAAAAACATACCTAAAAATTGCAACCAAATATTCAAGCAGAAATAAAGTATGAAAACCAATTTCAAACACGTATGAAAAAAATGCGATAGAAACAATACAGTAAAAACTCGAAAACTAATTTGGTAACATTTAATAAATTTTTAAGCAAATCATATTTTGTATGACTTATTTTATCGACATCAGGTTTTTAAGTTTTAAATTTATAAATGATGGGTATAACACATATTTTAAATTTAATATTCCAATTAAGTAATTATTAGATTATTATCTATCTATGAATAAATTAACGATTACAAAATCGAAAAATGATTGTTTACTGATAGAAGAATCGCAAGATTTTCATTAATATTGCCTGTCACCCCTGTTATCACTGAATTTCGGTCTTGTTTTCGGGAAACATCATTATTTTACGTTCTATGTATAACGAAAATTATTTTATATATTTTGTTAAACTTATCTAAAAGACTTACAAATAATGATATGTTTTTAGTACAGAAAATCTCATTGGGAACCAATCCGGACGTCCATCACATATTTACATAAGACATCGAAAACCAATTAGGATTATAATAATATAATATTAATAATAATAATAATAATAATTATTATTATTATATAAGCATTATAAGCCATAAGGTCAGTTGAAGAATATGATATACRTTTAACGCTAGACTAATATAATTATTTTATGGGTTATAGTTACCTGATTATTATTCGGATAAATCTGTTTCACCGCCATTTTGGCTGTATCAACGTGCTCGGAACTTTTAAATTTCAGTATCCAGATCGGACTCTCCGGCAAATAAATCATTATGAGCAACATGTTGACAACCGTGAAGACGACAAATGAGAAGTTTATGGCATTCCAGTCCAGATCAGCCAAACAGGTTGAAAGCAGTATACCACCAGAAAAGAAAACACTGTTCAGAGACAACAATATCTGCTTGTACGACGAGTGACTGATTTCCGACACGTACACTATGGCCACCATAGTCATTCCTGAACAAATTGTTAAATATAAGCCACAGAATAATATAATTTGTGTGTTGTTATTTTGCCCAGCAAATTTGTTACATTTGTACCTGCACCGATCCCAGCCAACAGCCTAAATACATAAAACGTGTAGATGTTGTCAGAACTTGAAATGGTCACTATTGTCCACGAAACGAGTAATGGTAAGCAAGTTAAGAGACAAGCTTTTTTCCGGCCAATCTTATCCATCAATAGACCGACAAGGAACGCTCCAACGGGTGTGCACAAAACCGAAATASTTGCTTTCATAATGAAAAATATCAAAACTTTGCTTTAACTATAATTACCTATACTTAAACACATCCATACTATTTTATTTTATTCTTAATAATACAATACGGGCCCAATTTATAATTTGTAAATTTAATTAAGATTATACCCAAATTACTGCAGTGTACAAATATCTTAAGAATAAAATAAGAATTAAAGGGGGATTAAGTATTTTCTATAATGTGTGGCTGGTATGAGTTTCAGTCATAGTAAACGAACAATTGATTTTTCTATATTATATATTTTATTGATTTCTTTTTTTATTTGCAGCATAATAGGTAAACATTAAAACCACAGGTTATATTCTAAAATATACATAAAATATAATCTGTGCTAATAAATAGTATCTATTATTAAGTGTCAGTAGTTGAAGCGCATTTTTAAACATGAATCTTATCATAGGTTAGGTCTATCTTATCTTRAAGATACGAATTTTGATAGGTCAATATCAAATATTTTAAATTATAATTTAAAACTCATCAAACCGTAAAGATGAAGTAGTTATCAGTAGACTACGTATAGGTCACTCAAAGATGTCCTATGGACATCTTATGCGCAGAGAAGAACCTGTAATGTGCCTAACCTGCGGAGAACCTCTCACAGTYAAGCATCTCCTTATCCACTGCYGTATYTATATAGATACCAGAAAAAATCTAAAATTGCCCGACAACCTCTTTGAAGCCCTCAGTCCTACCTATGACAACACCAACAAAATAATTACATTTTWAAAACAAATTGATATGTATAATCTAATTWAAGAAYCTATTGTATAACCATATTTTACTATGTACTAAATACTAATTTTGTTACAAGCTAATAACAGTAATAACCTTAGCAGTTGAAGCTGTACCATGAATAAAAAAAAAAAAAATTTAAATTTTTAGCAAACTGTTTTGAAACATAACAAACCATCATGATCTACATTCTTCATATATTAAATTATACAATTTTGATTGAACTAATTATCAGCTAATGACGTTTTTGTTATTTTTTTCATTTATTTAATAATTAAATGTTTCAKCATATTAATCATGCTTTTACAAGTTTAGATTACGGTTTTTGTTCAATATTGTTTTAAACACACCAGTGATGGTCACTATCAYTTTCCAAAAAAATTATTTTAATAATAATGATAACGGATCAACGTCACGATAAACAAAATAGTAATGTTAATTTTAATGAATYATATATATAATCATTGATGCATGATTTTTACAATAATTACAATTTATACAATCAAAGGCGATTTATTGATGTCTTGAAATTTAAATGGTAAATAATTAATTGGATTTAATTTTAGTCATATTATCATATGTTTTTCAAATAGGATTATTAATAATTATTTTTCAACAGAAGTCCTTATAAATAAGTTTATGTTTGCAATTATTATTTTGAAGTTTAAATATGTTAATGATTATTACTTATCCACGAAAATTGATCTTTATTTATTGACGGCATATGATGTAACATATTATTYGAATAAGCTAAATGTATTCCCGGTTGAATCACCATTAAAAAGGATATACAACTAGCCAACACCTTAAAAAAAAATAATCTTATAAGTTATATAAAATTAAAATAATTATTTTAATCAATTTATTCARTTGGAYGAATTAAAAACCTACTTGAGGATATAAATCTCTCCATAAAAGATTCGAAACTGAATATTTTTCAACCTCGACATCTATGGTTATATTTTCTGTTTTCCTGTGGAAAAATTAATTATTTCGAACGCATCATAATTTAATGTATATAACATCTATAAATCAAACATGTCCATAGCTTTAATACGTACCTATTGTTTTCAATCGATTTATTTTGACCATCATCGTCAGCTCCACATTTGTCTATACTAATTATAGTTTTAGTGTTTATATTGCAGTCTGAAATAAAAGTCTTAAATTTAAAACTATTTAAAATATGATATAATTTAATTACGAACTATTATTCTCGGGCGAGGTGATTTTATCCGCTGTAATTTTTTCATTCTGGTCTATGATATTGCTCATTATGCTGCTCTAAAAGTTAAATTATTAAATAAGTATTAAATTTTTTTAATCAATAACATTAATGTACATTATATAGGTAAAATTTATTGCAGAACTGTATACATTGAGAACATTTTAAAAGTATAGAAAATAGAATATGAGCAAATGTTTGAAATAAATAGTATATACATACTATATATATATAAAATTATAGTAACATATTACTATACGATTCGGAAAATGTTTAACAAATTATATCAACAGTATCATTTAAGGTCATGGAGATAGACCTGCGCATTGATATAATATTATCATTACCAATATTTAAATATTAAATAATACACTAAACTAAAATCAGATGAATATTGCAATGATGTAATATGTCTGGCATGTATATGTGTATGTATTGTCATATCGATTGACTTAGGCMACAGTTTTACGACACTAAACTTGTTACTACGAACCATTGTAATCATAAATAATTATAAAAAAATTAGTAATAACACAGACAGATACAAGTAGCTTATCCAGTTTTAACGAGCTTCATAATTATTTATTAAAGATTGGCCTAAGACGAAATACCAATACAATTTTACGGKTTTAGAACATTTTACATTGGTTGAATATTTTGAAAAAAAAAATATCTATATATAATGTGTATGATTTTACGGTCATTTAAAATTATTACAATTTTTAAATAATTTAGATAACTATTAACTAGTAACAAATTTGCAATATTATAAGTCATTGCTAGGGCTTGAATTTAAATGTCCTTTTTTTTTCTCGTTAGTATCGAGAACCGGARGAGGAACCATGGTGGTGCCAGTACTTCTCCTCCGGCCACCATCGTTTATTGATAAAAATAACCAATTACACATTGAAGTAGCTGCGACGAAATTTAAATGCCCTAAAAATATCATAAACATCTCTTTCGAAAAATGCATTTAACATGTAAAATTGTATATAAGTACGTTTATAAATACAGAAAAATGAGTAAATAATTCAATTTTAAAAATTATATTTGCTCAATTRTATTACACTGTGCAATGAGAGCTTCTTTAATATTTTTAAATCTAAATAATCAATAAAAATAATTTAATTTAAGTAGAAGTATGTTTATATTTCAATGAAGTCAATTTTTTTAGTTATAATACGAGAAATAGGTTAAAAATGAAATTAAAATATTCATTAAAAACATAAAAAATGACTCAAAAAGTATAAAATCCGATAAATAAATGCAAAAAATACTACAAAAAATTTGTAATTACCACATACCACATGGACTATGGAGTACTTGAACACATTTGTAGCTTAGAAATTATTGAGTAAGATATTCAAAAAAAAAAAAAAATGTAATTACATTAGAATTCTAGCCCTATAGTTATTAGTTATTACTTATTAGTWATTAACCATTTGAGAGATGAATATAGAGTTATACATTTATTGCGACTTTTAGACTACCCATACAGTTGGTTTTGGTCAGTTAATCAAAAAGCAAAAACGTATACACTGTAGTACTCGTATATTCTGTAGAATGTAGATACATAGGTATCATATTCCTATTGACTATTTCATAAAATATTTATTTAACTTTTAGACACAAACTTCTATACTAACTATATAAGGTACTGTTATATTATTTACATTGTTATCAATGWWGCTCGCACGAGGGCGATAGCTATTTTGTTGATTGGCAAAACATTGATTAGCATGCACAAAATTTAGGTACAAGGAATAAATGAAATTATATTTTTTTAAAGATGAAATAATATAATTATAACAAAATGATCAATAAAAAATAATTTTTTTTTTTTTGTTACAAACAATTAATCTAGAAATAATAATATACGTTACAACATCAATTGACATTTACCATAAATATATAATATATGACATAGCATAATATTTACCAACAAAGAAGATGGCGGAACCAGGCTTCAACTAATGCACGGAGTTACTTGTTTGGTTATTATAGAAGTCTGTGCTTATGGATTTTCAGGTTAATTTAATGTATGTTATATTACGATTAATTTATTATCTTGTGTTTTATAACGGAACAATACYTATCTTCGTACAATAAATTGGACATAAGCTGGATATAAATTACTGAAACTCAATCACATAATAAAATAATATTAATAAGAAAACTTGATAACATGAACAAAAACGATTGTTAAATCCTACTTATCATTTACTCTTTTACCTATTATGATAAGTTTGCTAGAATATAGAATTACATGGTTATTAGTGTTATTACCTACTTGCTACTTGTTCGTACGTATGGTTATTTTTATTAATTCATAACATTAGTTAGATGAAATAGAATACGTTTAAAAGTTATAAAAAGTTATAAATAAAATATGTAAACCTACAATTTAAAATTGTACATTAACATAAACATTGAAAATTAATATTTGAATGAAATCTTATAAATAAATTATTATAAACATTATTTGATTCTTTTCAACATAATTTGGAGAAGACTAAATAATATTTTATTTTTAGTTTCAAATTATCTATACTTACTATCATTGTTTGAATGGTATGCAATAGTAAATGTGCATTCAATATAAATGAAAAAAAATTTCATTGCTATAATACATGTCAAGTCGCGATAACTTGAAAAACTTGACAACTAGAATTTTTTTTTATTCCCCTAGAAAATTCTTCTCTTATTAATTATTTAGATAACTCGAGGTGAATTTTTATCCCTTTTCAACTTCGAGTTATTGTGGCTCGACTGTAGTCGGTAGACGTCTTACATATTTTATACATATTTTTGGGTAAAATTGAGCATGGCAGTCTGCAATACCTTATTTGATATTCCAATACATTTCTAACAAAACTTTTAATGCAGTAGATAACCTTCCATAATTAGTCGAGATGAGTCTACTTCCATTGTTTGCAGCAAAGCATAATTACCTAAGTTAAATTTAACTATTGAATATCCCTTGTTTCATATTTGTTAGTTTAGAGGAATAAACTATGAAACTTTGTTATACATTTTACAGCTGGACCAGCTGGTTAACTTMAGCGAGTGCGGCGGTCGTGAATCAATAACGACGTGTCACGTATGTACCTTATTGCTACTATATGAACAGTGAGCGATGGTCAGTTGAGGCAATCATATTATTATATACAGTCATAAGAAATTCGAACATATCATTAGCAACAATACATGCGATTAACTTGATTCACATTTTGAGTGGTTGTTATTAATTTACACGCGTCCGGCCTGCCAGCCTTAAACGCGTCTACATGACATTGTTACTATTTATTATTTAATTTAATACATTATATACTACGACCTACCTATCACAATCATGTGCCCCTTCCTTAAAGTATATTATACACGTATCTAGTATAATATGATATAAAATTACCATCCGTCGTTGGAAAACAAAACCATGATAGGTATGTTTACCACAAAGTAATATTTTAGAATATAATATTACTATAATTTAATCAAGTTGAGCGGAGTATCTCAAGAAAAATAAATAACTTGAGTAAGTTAAGTCAAACTCAATAACGTTAAGTAATTATTTATTACAATAATGGTCGCATAAAATAAATAAAATAGTTAGAAAGTTAGCTGAATTAGTCGAATTAAAAATATTAAGAAAAATTTAACTTGTCAACTATTTAACAATAATGTACTAACTGCTATTGGATCTCAGTATACTTATGTAGTTATGTGTTAAAAACAAAACAGGCAAGTCGTGTATAGTTTTGTGCACATAAAAATATTAATCACATCGTTAAGTAGTAGTGAAMAGCACATTTAAGTTAAATTGACAWATCACTGTTTAATAAAAAGAAGGGTTAAATATTAAATATAAAAGTAAATTAAAAGATATTTCAAACACTTGGACACCTAATAACAATTTACAGCGTAATTTATAATTTATCCACTATCAATCAAATTCCTATCATCGAGTACAATAAATGATTATCATTATATTATATTTTTCGAATATTAATAAATTGAACATTTTAAATATTTGAATTTTAAGATAAAAATACCTAAAAATTCGATTCCGAGATCGCGTGTGTAACCTGTTGAATTTTAGCTCGCGCTACCGTAGGACATATGCCAAAGATATTCCGAACCACAAGGCGTTTGCAACGTCACCGCACAGGTACCGTATCAATCATTATGACGTCATTTTATGATTACATCACCATCCAATCACTATTCATCTATTCTGTAAGTTGTATTTAGTTTCAATTAATAATAATTATTATTCTTTAATTTCCTAATCTCCTTCAATAGTCTAATAATTACGATACGCGAGTCAGAGAATCGGCCAGAGCTGCAGACATTTGTACGGTAGTCACCTAATTGTTGTCGATATTACCGAAGACCGTCAGTGTGTCTCGTCAAGCAGTCATTGAATTTCGACCGTCGTAGTTCCGCCCTTGACCAGTTGTCAAGTCGTCGTCCATTTTACCGCATCAACGAACAGGCCTAATAGATCCAAAAACTCCGGTAAGTCAATCTCCTACGATAAATATTTCGTCCCAGTGCCGTAGTGTAACATTTTCGATTTTTCGGACACTTTGAAACTACGATGACGTTACGTTGAGTTTATAAGACACTGTTTCGCGTTTCGATGTCTTGTTTTTGCCCAGCTTTCGACTGTGGCGCGTTAAAAACTTACAATATTGGTTTTTGGGCAGGTGTACAAAACACTATATTAGCTCACACAACTAACATACCCTATGGCATCAGTCTGATAAACGTGACGGTTTCTGTTTTCCGATAAAATTGTCAGTCTCCAAAATATATTTTGTCCCAATGAATGACGATAATATACTTAATATTAAATATAACTCTACGTCACATACCTATTAGACATTTAGTTTCTAAATTTCCATAGCATTGAAATTGGTTCCATTTACTCTTGCAGGCACAATGGCTGACAACAAAGCACAAAGCACAAAAAAGCCAACTGACTCCCAAAAGAAACTCCAAGAGTCTCAAGCTCAGGTTGATGAGGTCAGTATGAGCACTGTACAATAAATATGTTTTTAGGAGTGCATTATCATATTTGTGTGTATTCAATGAAATTATCTAATCATATAAATATTTCAAGGTCGTTGGAATTATGAGAGTCAATGTAGAAAAAGTATTAGAACGAGATCAAAAATTATCAGAGTTAGACAATCGTGCAGGTAAATAAAGTATTAWGTATAAATTATAATTATTCTTTATTTATTAATCAGCTATAATAAATATTAACTAAATATTTTAACCTTTGTAACTGTAAAAAATTTAATATTAAATTTATGTACTCCGTAATTAGTAAACTTATGTTATATTTTAAAAGTTATGCAAGTTAATAATGGGGCAGCTTGCAGGTTAGATGGAACAATTCAATAAACATTAATTTTCTGAGAATAAATAAATAAACTAATTTCTATATCACCAACTAGTTGGTAATAACTACCTAGTTTTAATATTAACTAAAGAACACTTTTTTTTCCTAGAAAATGTGATAATGGACAAATTTTAATCATCCTCTTAGAATGAAGCTTCATTTTTATCTAAGAATATCCAATTTTTTAAAGTTAAATTTAAGAAACTTAGCTATGAAAAATATTTAATAATTTTACTAGATAGAAATAAACAAATATTAAGGTATTATATTTATATAGTGCTAAATTATGGTTACATTTTTTGTAATGGTTGTAATGGTTATTTTTACGTTTTTAATAAATATTTCTCATACTTAAATATATTTAATATTTACAACCAACAAATKTAATTTACTTAAAAGAAAAAAATATAATAATAATATAAACAAAAATACAGCTATTACTCAAGATTAATAAATTCAAGTTTCAAAAAATAATAAATTTAGGTTATTAAACATAGGTACCTAATAAGTTACTAAACATTAAGAAATTAAGTTATATTAATGTAAAGCATTGTATAARCAAATGTAATTCATTTTTAGATATTTGACTTAAAATACATTTTTTTTAGTCATTCATAATAATTAAAAACACAAATAAACACTTACACTTTCTTATAATATACTTAGCTTRAGTAGCCRRTAAACAAACCTATTAAACAAATAATATTTTATACAATAATCTGTTAATATTCAAAAATAACTACCATATTATGTCTTTCTACAAGAATGTAATATAATTAATTTTTGTTTATGCTTACCAAACATTCAGTAGGAAGGTAAGTTTGGTTAAATAACCATAAATAGTAGATAGCATTTTCAGTGAAAGAGTTGTATTTTCTGTAGTAAAAACTTACCATGTTTGTTCATAAGTGGTGTCATTTGTGGGATGCATTTATAACRTGCATCATTGCGATACAAAACTTTTTTTTTCCAWATAGGCTTCTCATATTATTTAAAAATTCAAAAGTCTTGTCATTTTATTATAGCAATATTGAATGATAATAAATGACACCACTGTYAATATGGTTTTATAACAATTGCCTTTTTAAATAAATAAAGATTTATTCAAAGTCCTTTGATTTATTTATTAGTATTGAAACAGTTTATTAGTAGATGCACGTGTAATATAAATTTAAATKATTAATTAGTTGTATGTAGTTTAGTGCCATTTAATATAAATACTTCATGAGTATTTGATCTTATCCAGCAACACACCAGAGTTTACATCATCTACATGGTGATTCACCAAGCTCGCCAAGTTTAATCTTAACTTACCAAATACCACCGATTTTTCCTTTAATATTGAATTTATTTAAATCCTGATCTTTGTTATTATTAATTATTCATAAAAGGTTATTATTTTTAAATATTTATAATTCTTTTACCATTAAAGTAATCTATTGTGGCATGACAAATTTATTTTCTCAAATAAAATCACCTCTTTTTTCTATACATTTTTAAGATGTTTATTTTTTAAATCTAAATAAAAATTTGAATGTTTACCAAGTATTCTAAAGTGGTTTTACTAAGATATAAAATACTTGTTATGTAGGATTTAGAACTATTAAGTAAATTATATTTACTATATTTTGTGAATCATCGTAGTTCTCAAACTAATTATCATAAACCTATCCTTAGTACACCAAATTAAATAATTGGAGGTAACTCACTCTTTCAAATGTTGATTAAAAATTTAAAGGTTAAAGAATTGTCTCCTCAYTTGAAAAAAAAATTAGGGTATTCGTTTAGTATGTGAYCTATCGATCGAAAATCGAATTTAGTATGAGACCTACCTGAATTMCCGGGTTTAGTGTGTGACCTACGACCAAGACAATTATCTATATCGTAGGTATGGACAACCTATGTTTGCTTATTTTTATAATTAWATTATATTATATATTTACTGATTTTTACTAATAGAAAWTTYGTCATTCTAACATTATCGACAATATTGTCAGTACGACCAGTACATGTTCTTCCGTTATCGCGTGTTTAAAACTTTAAAATGTTGGCAGTCAAATTGTATACGATTATTTCTTTTGAAAAACAGTATTAGAATTTTTATAAACATTTTTTTTTATACTGATATTGAATATAATCTGTMATCTGTAATAATAAAATAACCTAATTATATAATTAATTTGACTGTTTATAAATTAATTATCGGTCCGGTAGCCTTTAGGTCACGCATACAAAACGAATACCCTATACGGTAGGTCACATACTAAATGAATACCAAAATTAGTATCCCCATAGGATTACTAACTAAATGGTATAGAAAATCTATGTATTTGAAAATAAAGCCTTAAAATTTAAAAAATTTGATTAAATTTACAGTTAAACAAATAAAATGAATAACCATGTTTGGTGATTCACTGACTCACTGTATACATAGATTTTCCATCACTCTTTAATTTCCATAATAATTATAACATTATTTTTTTTTTATCATATAGGCTATTAGTCTTATGAACTTTCATTACATACTGCATACTCTAATAAATGAAGATATTTAATTTAATATGGGTATCAGTTTCAGAACCATAATTAGGAATTTTATGTGAAGAGGGTCCATACCTACCTCTTTCATACTGTCTCTTAAAGGAATTTCTTGGTAAACACAAAGTGTAGTTACATAGTAAAATTMATTCAATTTAACCACCTAAACCCTCCCCGTGGCTACGGCCCTGATCAGTTTTATAGGGTTAGTTAAGTAATTATAATAGTACCTATAGTGCAAATTTGCTCTATTACACAATAATAAATATGTTGTAAGGCTTTAATAAATAATTAGAATAGAAAGATTYTTTGGACTGTAATGATTTTCATTTATTAGTGTAAATCTAACTTGTCTGTTAAAAGCCACTATTTCAAAATGTTTTTAAATTTCAAAAATTTMAATTATATTTTTGGGAAATATAACATATATTTTTGTTCCAGATGTTTTGCAACAAGGTGCATCTCAATTTGAACAACATGCTACAAAACTTAAAAGAAAGATGTGGTGGAAAAATTTAAAGGTTTGTACTTTAAAGTATTAAAAAAAWTTTTACCCAACTTACATTACGATATAATATATCTACATTTAATATTATTAATTTATTTTTATTTTACTAGATGATGATTCTTTTGGGAGTTATCGTAGCAATACTTTTGATTCTTATTGTCGGTAAGTTGTTTAGAAAATTTAATTTAAATATAATATAGATGATATTAATAGAATTTCTGTTCACTATTTTCTTTACCTGACTCACCTGGATCATACCAACTTCTGTTAAGTAGAATCAAYCTTGTGTAAAATAGACTAAAATATTTTAGAGAATTAATTTTAAGAGGATGCTACACAACCATTTGCTGTCTCTGTCTTACAAGTGCATAACATAGCAAATGTATGCTTAGCAGATCAGCAGTTTAGCTCTGTTAGTTTARAAATTAGAGTAAATTAACCTTGATGGTATGAACATTATCTGTGTTTGTATCTGAGATGTCTTTAATAACTTAGTTTTTAAGTGAGTTATGAGTATGAGTTACTATTGTAAAAAAACCTACTTACAAACACAGATAATGTTTTTAACATCAAGTTTCTTAATAGGTCGATTCTCTCTAATTTTTAAACTAATGGAGCTAAATGTGATCTTCTAAGCAAAAATTTGCATTGTTATGCACTTGTAAGACAGAGACAACAAATGGTTGTGTAGYGTCCTYTTAAGAGGACACTACATCCACATACAATGTCAYTATCYTATAAATTCAAAACATTAAATTAGACATTTTAAATATTCCATTAAATTACCTATTATATTTAAGTAGACCGAATTGCTATATCATCAAATTTAAAAATAAGAATATTATCTAGTGAATATCAAAGATTKTTTTTTCAATTTAACTTTAAACCGAGTTATAAGCTTATTTGTTTTACAATATTTATTTTTCTCTGCAGTATATGAATGTTTTAAATTTTTCTAATCTTTTACTTACTCAACTTGCATAAACATTGAAGTATTTTGAAAAATCAAACATACAAACATATAATAATCTTAAATATAATTTTGTTCACTCTATTCATTGTCATATAAAATATTAATGGTGAAAACTTCGGCTAAATTCAAATAAGTCATGTTGTGCCTGAGTGGCTGAGTCCTAGAGAGAAAACAAATAGTGAGTTTGCAATTTTGC